TAGTTTCCATATTTAGGGTGCTGGGATCACAAACGAGTATAAAATTATACATGACTAATTGCGCGAATAATATGGCAAAGTAGCTAATCACCTCCAAAAGTAAAGTTTTTCCTTGATTGCCCGTGTTAATTCCTAGCATGAACAACGACTCTAAATCTGGTAAACACATGAACTCGAGTTGGTAATTTTGGTTAGCATATATAAGGGCTGGGGTAAAAAAAAATCCGAATAATTGTTCGTTAAGATGAGTTAGTTCATTAAACTTGATAGTTTAAAAACTTTCGATGAACATTTGTGCACCATTAAACTGAAGCATTGATTAATTCGATGGCTGGGGCTCGACAGCCCTTTTGCATAAAGTGTAAGTTTTAGGGCCGAAATAAATGGCCCGGGTCTGACATGCATATCCGTTTGGGCCTGAACTATGATTCCCTCACGCAGACTGTTTGGAGTTTGTAGGTCTAGATGTAGTACTCCTTAAAAAATAACAATTAGTTAGGTTTTATTTTTATTATTAGAGACAAGTTAAGTAGAAAATTATAGCTTGCTTTAGGATATCCTTTTAAAACAAATGAGACGAGCCCCGCCAAATAAAACGCAGAAGTTGCGGGGCCCTCAGTAAATATTGCGTTAAAATACTTTAGATTTCGGGACGGACCGTCTAATGAATTTCACGGCTCTCCTCAAAAATAATAACGCGCTAGCCACTTTAGGCGCGCTTTTAATAAAGTACTTTCTTAAACTCGAGTGCACATTTATGTGACCCAAATCCAAATCTCAACGGAGTTGAAATGTGTCAATAACCACGGGTGCATTGATGTGACGTGGTTCGAGATGTGTTTTCACGACGTTGCAATTCTCATTAAAAAAATAAATAATAAAAGCGGTAAAAAATTAAAATTTGCACATAAGTTCAACATGTATTAAATCAGATGAATAAGCCGAATATGACATTTGAGCGACCGTACTAGAACCACGGAATTCGGGAATGCCTAACAGCTTCTCCCGGGTTAACAGAATTCCTTATCCGGATTTCTGGTTCGCGGACTGTAATACAGAGTCATTTCTTTTCCTCGATTCGGGATTCAACCGGTGACTTGGGACACCATAAATCTCTCAAGTGGCGATTCTGAATCTTTAAATAAAATCCCGTTTCGATTGTCCTTTAATTGGAAAAACACCCTCTACGTCCCTGCGGGGCGCAGGTGAAAAAGGAGGTATGACAGGGCCTTGGCGATTTCGGTATCAAAGTCAATGACGTCTGCTTTGGCCTCTTCCAAGGTTTTTCTCCTCATGCTATACATAGAATATGTTTTTTCAACAATGAAAGAAGCCGCTCGGCGCCGAGATTCTTCCTTAAGCTGGTCAACCTCGGTCGAAAGGTTATTCCGCTCAGATCTAGCGGCCTGGAGGCTAACATCAAGGTCACAGATAGTGGATTTATAAACTTTATTATGCTCTATAACCTTTCTATACCTCTCTTCCAACCGGGCATGCTTTTCCGCAGCAGTAGCTTCTTCAGCTTTGGAGTTCAAGGCTACCTCCAAATTATTTAGTTTTTCAGTAGAGGCAGCCTCGCAATCGGCAGCAGCAAGAATAACATTTTAGACCTCGACCCACTTTGCCTTGGCCTCTTCAAATTGTACCCTTAACAGGGCAGCCTCTTAGCTGAGGGTCACCACCTCTTGCTCGCTTTGCTACAACCGAGCCTCCAACTCAACGGTCTCAACAGCTTGTGCTTCCAATGTAAGGAGGCAAGCAACAATTTGATCCCGCTCGGCCAACAGTTGATCCCACTAAGATGTGAAGTTTTCTTTATCAAGGATCAACCTTTGAAGGCCCTCGGAAGCAAGGCAGTTATCCTGCAAAGAAAAAGTTCAAATTAAAATTGTTGTCGTATCAAAGATACAAGGAACATCAAAGGTAACAAATATCATACTGTTGTTACGTTGTGCATGACATTGTTTACCATGCACTCTCCCGAGAGAGACTGTATTTTATTCCTATCTTTCTCTGAAGCCAGAGGCTTCACGCAATTAGCAAGTTCCACTAGCTAGGACAGTAGATGACACTCGGTAGAGACCGAGGGGGAAACGTTCCTCATCTTCTAAGGATCTTTGGAGGGGGGCAGGCGAATAGTTATGCCTTAAATTCCCATGGACTGGGGACTGGGGAGGAGGGACGTCCTCCTCTCGGGTTTGGGGCCGATGGAGATGATGTAGAAGTTGCTGGTGGGGAAGGCATGATTGGCAAAAAAAGAGAAGAAATTGATGGCGTTGTAGGTTGAGAAGCAGTGCTAGTTATTGGTTGTTCGCCAACTGAAGACGGAAAAGACCTGGAACCCAGCTTCATGGTACCGGGAATAACAACTAGGGCCCGAAGCGAGAGTTGGCATCTTTCACTCTATCACACTCTCTCCAAAGCGCTTGGACTTCGTCCTCAGTTGATGTAACTAACTTAACAGATCTAGCAGTCTGTGGAACTGATGAAGGTGGTCATCTTCTATGTAGAGTAGCCCCTTCATCACTAGCTCCTCCATCATCATCAATCACCACAGTATTTGCGACTGGCTCAGGCGCGACGCTCTTTATCTTTTTATTCTTTCCCTTGGTCATAGATGAGCGTCGCCTTTTTAGTTACATGTTCTCGGGCCGAAGACTCCGAGAGGAAGCACCTATACTGGAAGCAGGTCCGACGACACCCGTTAGAGCGAATGCCTCCTACAACAACCTCGCCGCATCTGCGGGATCATCCAAAACGTCCTCCTCGATGACAGTAATAGAGCCTTGCGGAAGATCTGAATTCAATTGAAGGAGAAGTTAGCTAGTTTTCTTGTATGTAAGATAAAAAACAAAATAAACTCAAGAATCAACTTACCACAATTTTTGAACTTCCACCCATATTTGAAGGCCAGTTTTTTCCACCAATGGGTCTTAAGCGTGGTAACATACAAGATTTTTCTGGAAGCCTTTAACCCTTGGTGGCGTACACTGAGTTACTGAAATAATAGGAAAAGAAGGATCAGTGATAGCATGCGACAACCTTTAACCGAAAGAAAGGATGAACGTTGAACTTACGTGTACGATTCCATGATTCAGGAAAGGAAGGAGTTGTGCCGGGATAAATCCCTTGTAGCAACTACAACAAACCGCTCCATCCAGCCATGGTCGTTATCGTCATCCATGCTGGTGAGAAAAGCATGATGACCACGTTTGCTGAAGTTTATTATTCCCCCACGAAAAATCTTGGGGGAATAAAGGTTCATCAATCGAGCCAGGGAGAGCTCGTCCCCCTTATCTTGGCATAACCACCGAAGACAGGCTCCCGTCCTCCACACATAAGGGCTCACCTGTGCCAAGAAGACATGATAACCGAGGTAAAACTCCAAGATTACAGAGTCAAATACCTGCTCAATGAAAACGGGCCCAAAGTAAAGGGATACATGTAAATGTACGTAAAACCCTTCTTAGGGAAAGTCACCCGCTCTAGTAGGTGAGGAGAGATGATGCTCAAATCATGGCAACTACACTCTTTCTTCACAGAAGGGATGCCAGTAGGACGGATGGAAGAAGCGTATACACCAACAACCCATATGCAAGAGTTAGCAGAAGGGAACTTCTCTTCGAAGTCCTTAGCCGTGGTAAGCTTTTTGGGGATAATAGTGCTCACTGTAGGAGGAGCATCATTAGTGTTTTCTTTGTTCTTTGAAGAACTTAAATTTTTGGAAGAGGAGACCATAGTTAACAAAAGGAAATATGGGTTTTCTCTGAAGAAGGAGGTTAAAAAAGAGAGTGAGTTGAGTAAAGAAAGTTTGAGAGAGTTCGAAAAAATTATAAAGTGTAAGAGAAGAAGACTGAAGCGTATAAGTAAAGGAATAGGCAGCTAAAATCGTGGGCATGATTACCTCGAGAACCGGCAAAAGTATTACTGAATTGTGGGATGACGCATATTCGGGACATTAAATGCGGAGAGACGTGCATTTACTCAAGCATCAAAAACTTTTCAGAGGGAGTCAGTAAATCGCATATTCGGGACATTAAATGCGGAGAGACGTGCATCTAATCAAGCGTCAAAAACTTTTCAGAGGGAGTCAGTAAATTTTCCGCCAGGAAAGGTATATTTACCAACTTCCCGATAATACAAGGATGTGCAACCGGAAAGTTGGGAGACTATCTGTACAGGGTAAAATCGATTCATATTAAATGCTCGTATAATAGAGCGACACATAGAACCAGAGATAAATGGAAAGCGAGACAGGTGAAGTCAAAACCGGGGGAAGCAGTCTCAGCTCGCACAGGAAAGCCCCCGAAGAGAATGTTAATCATAAAGACAAATGAATGTCTGTCACCCGGTGACATTTAATGAAGAATATTCTACAGTATTAAGTACATGGTTTGTTATAGAGAATATAGCATTCATAGTCTGTCGTTGCACATTCTTCAATGGCCCCCATAATTATTATTTAAAAGGGGCTTGATCCTAGGATCTTATTCCCTATGTGCCACTATAAATAGGTATTCCAACAACCACTGGAGGGATATGAATTTTCTAAAAAACTTATGCTATACACATTATTCTAAGCTCAATAATATTTTATTCTCGCTTATTGTTATTACTACTGTCTTCGAAAGCTCTGTTCCCAGAACCAAGCTATCTGCTATCTCATCTCAATTTTCAACGCGAAGTCTTGCATTTTATTTAATTTATTTATCATTTTGGGATCAAATCAATTCTCTTATCTATAAACCACGTATAAATTCAACTGTACTATTTTACAGGTAGACAATTATAATATATGGCTTTATGCACTAGTTAATAATCGAGCCGAACAAATCGAAGTTACCAGACCGAATAAACCGAAACCAGAAGAATAAAAGTCGAACTATACTGAATTTAATTAGATACGATATTGGTATAGATTTTAAGAAATCGAATACCGAAAATATCGAACCAAAATATCTAAATATTGTACTGTTCCTTGACCGACGAACACCCCTATCTATTCATGATGCAAGAGATACTCCATACACCAATATACAAATGTTCATTTTTCTATTTCCTTTCCTCCTCACACAACAAACAAATGACTATCTCTTACCTTTTCATTTCACACAAATTGAATCTTCAAAAAACTCACAACTTGAATTAGATCACATTGACATGATTAATAATTAATTCTTTAACTCTTTATTGCACTAGGTGGGATGATAACATCTGGCTCTTTGAACTCTGCCCTTTGACTTAATTCTTCAAAGTTATCAACCACATTCTGAAGCCTTGCAACAAATTCAATAAGTAGTGAAGCAAAAGTAGCCAAAGACAAAGAACTCGCACTTAAGTAAGTTTCCATTTCACATGTATCAGCAATATCACCATCAGCAAGTGAAAGACGTGAAGGCCATTGATTTTGCTTTCTAAATGATGAGTTTCTAAATTCAGACGATTCTTTTGCCAATTGTGGCCAATTTGCTTGTAATGAACTTATGTCAATGGCTGTTTCACTTAGTGATCGAGATCGAGAACTTAATGGCAAATTTTCACTACCATTTTCACTTGAAGAATCTTCATGATTAATGTTTGGTTTTCCAATTTCCCAACTCTTTGAATTGACCAAAATATATGATTTATGGTCTATTTTCTTCTGTAGTTGTTGAGCTGTCTCGTGCACTTCTTTTAGAATATTTCCATGACTATCTAGCATTTCCAATTTTTCTAACTTTGTTCCTAGCTCACGTAAAACTTTTGCAGCATTTGCACCAACCCTCTTTAGCTCATTACGGAATACTTTCCTCTTCTCTGGTGGCGACTGCAAAAATGAGAATTTAATATCTGTACGATCAGATTAGGATGACCTACAACAATAGGTAACTGACTATATATAGTAATTCTAATCTGATATAACCTAAACAATATTACAGTAAATAACTTGTTAAAATATACTGATAGTGTAAAAATTATTTAAATTGTACTTGCATATAGGTTAATAACCTGCGATAACTTGTTAAAATACAAGGATAGTGTAAAAGTTGTTTAGATGATGTGTATAGGGCAGTTTGGTGTACTAAGCTCCCGCTATGCGCGGGGTCCGGGGAAGGCCGTCCGAACCACAAGGGTTTATCGTACGCAGCCTTACCCTGCATTTCTGCAAGAGTCTATTTTCACGGCTCGAACTCGTGACCTCCTGGTCATAGCAGCAATTTTACCAGTTACGCTAAGGATCCCCTATAAGTCTAGATTATGTGTATATATAAGTTAAATCAAAATGTTAAGAGTTTAACTTCTGTATACTCACGATGTACACAAAAAAAGTTAGATTATTAGGTTAAGATGACTTATAACAATAAATAACCATCTATAATAAACCTAATTTGAGAACCTAAACAATGAAGTAAACAATTTGTTTTTAACATGGTAAAATAGCATAAACATTATTTCAGTTAAAACCTGGATTTCTGATTGGATACATCCATGCAATGCCATAACCATGAATGCACAATGCCTCAATGCACTGCTTAATTTAACAAAGTCTCTCCACAGATTCTTGTGCATTCTATAACGCCCATGAGGTGGCTCCCAAATAGCAAATCCAAGCTGTTCAAAATATTGATCAAGTGCAAAATGTCACGATTTCTTCTAAGTAAATTCATGAGCAACAAGTTATATTTCTCGGACTCTTTAAAACGGCAATGGAGTGAGTGCCGGATCTTCTAACATTAGTGTATTTCTGGAGGATTTCATACGAGTGCGACAACATTTTTCGAGAGCCCAAGCAACATAAATGAGTAGATACATAAACGTTACAACATAATATCTACGTACCAATGTTTGTTCTCGTCCTGTGGATTCTATGACAGATTTGTAACCGTTATATTCTGAGTCATTTGCATCTCTATCATGCTCAACACAACTTAAGTACCCATTGATACAACCTGTTCAAAATTTCATGGATTCAACTTGTTATAATTAGCAATTTTATTGGTCAAAAATTAGAGAAATATAAATGTAAGTTGTCCACCTTAAATGCTTTCTGTGGTCCAAAATATTTAACATTTTGGAAAAATAACAAGTTATTTATATATTTTTCCAAATCTACCCTTACTGTTTCAATTAATGAAAGTACGGCCAATCGACTGAGATGAATAAGAGAAAGGTAAAGAATATTTTAGACAAATACTTTTATGATTAGACTGTATAAATGTCTCTTTAACGAGACGTGCAAGACCATAAAAATATAATATATGAACCATACGAAGTACGAAAATACGCTTAAATATTGTCTCACCTTCCAAAGAATTTGCAAGATCCATGAAATTCTTAACCACCAAACGATGCAAATCTTCACCAGACCAGATGGGGTAAATACTTATATTAATCAACAAGCAAATACCAGCACCAAGAGCAATCAGTGCCAAACGAGTACAAATTGCCACATTGTACTCTCTAGTCCTGTTTCCAGCCACAATTAGGATACAATACGTCAAGATAAACACTCGATATCCATATTCATATGGTGCCATTGTTGGGTATAGCTTCAAGTATGATCCAAAAAATGCTGTCAGGAAAACAAGAAAATAATAGATGAGACGAATTACGTTATCCTCTATCCCAATTTATATGACGCTATTCAAATATCAAGAGTCAAATAAGTTTTTTCTTTGATCGTAATTTTTTCATATGCCTTTTGAGTATTTTTGAACTACTAATTATTATGACTTATAATAACTTTTACTGTAGTTTTCAAATATGTAAATTTTATTTCAAAAAACTTAAAGTTCTCATATCTAAATACGTAGTCAAAATGAAAAAGTTTGACTCTTGAAATCCGAACTGCTATCACATAAATTCGGACGGATTTTAAGACAAAATTTGGAATGTGAGGATTTTATGGTAATAGAAAGTTACCTACGATAAAAATGCTCACAACAATTACAACTCTTTCCCTTTCTCCAGCCCACAATGCTAATTGAGCAAAGATGAAGGCAAGCATCCCAGCACAAAATGTCCCCAAACCACGATTAAATCCTTTAATTAAGGTTGCTCCTGCACAAAACAAAAGGGTGAAAAGGGTAACTATATCAGCAAATTAATACTTATTGGCTACAGTAAAACGATGTAAAGATTTTTTATGTTATTCGTGTAACTTAACATTTTATAGCAGGTTATATATATATATATACACCATTTTTACTAGATTATCAATTAATATTTGTATAAATATTTACCTATGCATATGAAACTTTTACCCTTTTAATGCGCAGAAAACATAAACTCATAGTAAATTAGTTAAAATTCTATCTACTAATGGTGTGAAAAATTTTACACTATCAAATAACTTTATTTAGTATTATTCATTAATAATCTAAGATACATGGTAATTAACCTATTACTAATAGATCAAATCACAATGATGGTGTAAAAAATTCATTCTATTGTCAATGTATATATATGTGACTTTTTCCTTTTTAATCCATCCCAAAAAGAATATTAATTATTTTCTATATTTAGTGATAATTTAACTTTAAAATGTTGATTTACCTTTAATAAGATGATTTATAACTACACAAATATCTATGGCTCATTAGAAATTACAAGCTTCAAAAGTCTTTTTTTATTTCTTAAACTTTGTACCCAGTCAAACACCATCATATAATTAAACGAGTGACTAAATTAATCACGGTAATTAAATTAAAGAAGCAAGCAAAAACAAGAGAGGGATGCTAAAAGTTTTTACCTATGCTGAACTCAAACATAACAAGAACTGTTAAGATTGCCCAAATTGCGAACTGAGCAATATCATTAGGTTTCTTCCAAAAAATGAGAAGAGACACAAAAGATAAAGCAAATCCCATTTTCAAGGAAAAAATAATTTTTCGAGGATCGTTGCGACCCATCTCGATTGCTTTCTTAGCAAAATCTTGTAAATTGTTGAAAAAACTTGTAAACTTATCATTCAATGGACTGAAACAATTGCAGCAGCCTTTTCTTTCATCATAATCATTTGGCAGCAGTTTTTCTTTGTTTTCATCTGAAGAAGCCTTCTTGAAAAAATTCTTTATGGTCACCATTTCTTGCTATCTTTTTCTCTGATTATATATAGACTCTGAAAAAAAAAAGGAAAAAGAAGATGATCAAAGTGTTATTTTTATTCTACAAGTTGTATGGAACTCTCTTGTAAGGAAAAAAGAAATGGGAGAAAACTTATCAAAAAGAAAGAAAATTTCACAGTAAGAAAAAAATGAAATAATGGAACAATCAACTATGCCACAATATATCCAAGCAAGTTATTATAGGTTATATGAGTCCTTATATATTAAGTCGCTTTATTTAAGCACTTTTCTCATTCAATATTATACAAAATAAAAGTAAAAAGTACTAACTAGACGTTCTCGGTATTTCAGTGGCATATATATATAATTAATCTATGCAACAATAATAATAATAACAATATATATATAGTATAATCCACAAGTAGAGTGTGGGACATTATAGAGTATGCAGCCAGTGGCTAAGACAGGAATTTCATTTAGGGTATTCAAACTTGAAATAAGTAAAAAAACAATCCTCGATAAAGGGTGTTCAATATATGTTATATACCATTAAAATCTTATATTTTACCTATATATACCGTCTAATTTTTCAACGAATGGTGGTCAGTTGACCTCACTTAGGGTTATATACCTTCGGCCCTGTGCAACCTTATCCCTACCTTATGCAGGTAGAGAGGTTATTTCAGATAGATCTTTGGCTCAAAACAAACATGCATAATCACAACATTATATACAAAAGATATGCAGTAGTGAAAAAGTCAAAGAAATAATAACCACAACAAGATAATATATAGTAAAACCGAAAAAATCACATCGCCAAATAGTAATAGAAATCAAAATTTTACGGATATATAAGAATAACACTACCACTACTGGGATGAAAGGAAAGACGCTTGATTCCCTACTACCTTTATAATTAATTTTCGCTGATTTTCAACTTTCACACTTTCTTATCAAAATATATATATATATATATATATAGCAATACTAAAAGACTCCTAGAAAACTATAAAACTTAAAGTAAACACACTAACATGACTAAAATAATTAATCACAACCTAATATCTTGGTACTTTTTAACAGCAACACCTGTTATTGCCAAGCTTGTATTTCTTTTTGGTTTTATGTACGTGAAGAGTAGAGGCGGAGCTAGGGTTTTAACTTTATGAGTTCTAAATTTTAAAACGACGGCTTCAAGTACAACTAGCTGGGTTCTAAATTCAATATTTACATATATTTAATGAACTTTTTAATGCAAATATATTGATGAACAAAAGTTACTAGGTTCGACCGAACTCGAATACGAACTTCTAGCGCCGTCCCTGATGAAGAGTAATAAAGAAGAAAGAACAGACGTGCATGAAAGTGAAGAGTTTTTGGTGTGCCACTTTGGTTGGATCAGTCAATTCCCTAACATCAGAATGTGGTTACAGTACGGTGGTGAAAACAAAGAAAAGAAGCTTCCTTCCCTCTATATATTATTGGTACCACAATTATACTATACTTCAGGAAACACAGTACGAGTAAAGCCAAAACAACAACAATTACAACTCAATTTCAAGCTAAGCGAGATATTAATTCTATTTGAACATGTTTCCATCTCTAATATTAAAAAAAATAGTTTCTCTCGCTATTAGAAAATTGCCTAAAATCGTCTAGAAATACCGACCGAAATCGATCGGAAAACTAGAAAAACCGACTGATTTTCAACCGATGACTTTAATCCATCGAAATTAGGCTAGTCGGTAATAAACAGCTATCGAAGTCGGTTGCAATTTTCGACTGATTTCGGTCGGTCAATTAAATTTCACAAACGACCCAAAAAGAAAAAATCTGCCGAAAAAACCGACCGAAGTCGGTCGATATTTTTAATTATGCAATTAAAAATACTATTCTACCACTAGACCATTAGTACATTTTGGTTTACGACTTTCTTTTATTTTATTTGTATTCTTTAATTGCATTTTCGCGCGAAAATAATCGACCGATATATAGATTTATAGATTTCTAACAAATTTAAACAGACTCCTAACAAACAATGGACCCAATGCTAGCTTACTATCATGACTAATTAACCCTTAATAGCTAATTCTAACAAGTTAATTAATGCGTAGTTTATGTACATTTTTCTTCTATTATATATTTTATTTTTCGCTAATTCTACTAGACGACTAATAAAATAAAAAAATTAAGGAACCACAGATTCTTGAAAAATGACATAGTATTTCTCCCGCGTAACAGAAAATTAGCTAAACAACAACAAAAAATCCAGTAGTTTTCCACAAGTGGGATCGGGGAGGTAAGAGCCTTACCTCTACCCCTACCCGGAAGGACAGAGATGTTATTTCCGAAAAGAAAAGAAATTAACGTAATGGATCAGATTGAGTCTTGTGTGACTTACCAATAATAACAGTGGATTGCTCTTTAGACCTGAAAATTCATTTGGAGATTAAAGAAATTTCCGTTATTGGGATTTTGTAAATTGAAGAACCAAAGAAACAAAAGTGGTACGTAGAAAAATGTTGGGAAAATTACCAGAAATATGTTATAAGAAAGAGATAGGAATAAGTAGCTAAAGAGTCAGAAGAAAACGATAATATGTTCTAAATGAAGGTTGATGGGAAAGGATATGAATTGAGTAATTGATGCTAAGCTATATAAGAATGTAGAACAAGCATCTACTTGAAGACTAATTCACAATTTTTATTTTTATTTTTATTTTTTTTGGGTGTGTTTTCCAACTTTCTCTTGAAATGTTGCGTAAATTTCAACTCTACAGAGCTGAATGACCTTTCAATATAGCAAAAGGAACAAATTTGTAGTGCTAGGCAATTTTTTGGCTATTTTCTTTCTTATGATCTCTCGCAGTTTGAAGAGTTTGCGTTTATTTTCTCAGTTGAAAGTTTATTTTTAAAAATATTTCTGAAAGATTTTGGAAAAATATGAATAGAAAAGGAAGATTTAATTTCTACAACTCAAACGTGGAAGCGTTCTGTCAATTTCAGCCACTTCCATTTTCAACTATTAGATCATGTAAACATGTTTTAGTGAGCGAGTTTAATTCCTTCTAATAAACAACAACGACCCAATAAAATCTCACTACTGGGGTCTGAAGAGGGTAGTGTGTACGCAAATCTTACCCTTACCTCAAAGGAGTAGAGAGGCTGTTTCCGAAAGATCCTCGGCTCAAGAAAACAAAAGGACAAAAGGAGACAATATTAGTATCATTAAAGAATTCATATGAAAAACCGGAATAACATGAAATTCAGAAGAAAGATGCAAAGCAAAAACGATAGCTAGTAAATAGTTCCTGCGCTGAAAAGTGAAATAGTAAGACACAACATTACCACTATCTTAAACAAAAACCCTACCAAAATGGTCTCGCAATGGTACAAAGTAAGGAAAAACTCAAACTACCTCCTAACCTACAACCCTAATACTCGACCTCCACATCTCCCTATAAAGAAATAAACTTATGGGAGAAAAGGAATTCAACTTAACACGAACAAATATTTTGCTAGCAAAATCATTAGCTAATTGAATTTTAATAAGAAAAAAAATGTAAACAAGGATGAAAAGAGGCGCGAGATAAACTAATACATCTGAAATATACAATTTTCTGGGGTCGGTGACTTAGTTAGGAGTTATGATTTTGCATAAGCGTTCATGAGTTTGGGTCTATGATTGTGGTGGTATTAAAATTTTATTTCGGGGTACTAAATTGATATAAATACTTTATACATTTTTTAAGTGGTGTGAACCTATTAAAGATATATACATATTGTTAATAAAATTTAAGTTTCATACACTATTAATGTAATTTACTTACTATAGCAGGTTACTATCATTTATTTTAGATTAACAATCAATATTTATTGAAAACAGATATTTATAATTACTTTTCGAGTAATCTTATTGTGCAAATATTTTTCTCACCATCAACATATAGAATTCTAGCTCTTTTTTTTTTTGGACGGACTTACTTTACCTCTTGTCTCTTTTTCTCC